GTGAAGTGGGGAGTAATTTTTTTTATTATACTGTTGAAAATAACGGCAGCCATCACCCCGAGACGTTATTTGCACCGTCAACAGCCTTCCTTCATCATGATAAAATACTCACTTTTATTTTACCTTTTATTATGGAATGATGTCTGCATACCGTGTATATATTATTATTATTATTATTATTATTATTATTATTATTATTATTATTATTGTTGTTGTTGTAGTTATTTAAATATATACAATGGAATTATATAGTGAAATGTCAGACATAATTGGATGCGTTTATGTTCACTCAGGATGGATATACTAGGCTAGGATGGTTATTGATATTGAAACAGTTTATTTAGCCAGAAAAATACAGATAGAGTGGCTAGTTTAAATTTGTCTTAGTTAGGTTAGGTTAGATTAAAATTGGCTTAGTGCAAAGAGATTTAATAATACATCATACCGGTATGTTAATTACTGTCTGAAGAGAATAAAAATAATAATTTAAGTAAAGGATGCCAACAAGTGTGTATGTGTGTGAATATATTATTGTACCTGGTTATCTTAGCATATTTCCTTTCATAGACAACACTATCCATTATCATGTCTCCCCTTGATCCATCTTACATAACAAAAAGGAAATGAATTCAAATAACAGACAGACAGAGAAAGAGACAGAAATAGAGAGAAGAGGATGCTACTCATACAGCCTATAGCCCTGACATGAGCGTGGGAACGGCCCCCCGACCCTGGCAACCTGCGGTATGAACAATTGGACAGTCAAGGTGGTAGTAAACAAATTCCCACACTCTCTCAATAACGTAACCTGTGTCTGCACTATGCAACCAGTATTTAGAAACCATTATTCACTAACAGGTGATTAAATTAGAGTTGTATTTCTTTAACTATTTCGGAACTATTAATGTTGTCGTAAAAATTAGAGTTGTTATTTTAAATGCATTTAAACGCTACACTTAACATAGTTCAGAGTTCTCGTGGAAACAGCAGGGTTGGTCTTGTTCCACCTAAGTACACATTGATACATAATACAGGTGACATTTTCCAGTAGCTGTTACCTAGATTACAGTGGCTTCGTTACTTAGAATACAGGAGCTTCGTTACCTAGATTGCAGTGGCTTCGTTACCTAGATTACAGTGGCCATGTTACCTCTATTACAGGTACTTCGTTACCTAGATTACAGGAACTTCGTTACCTAGATTACGGTGGCTTTGTTACCTCTATTACAGGCACTTCGTTACCTAGACTACAGCGGCTTCCTTGCCTAGATTACAGTGGTTATGTTACCTCTATTACAGGCACTTCGTTACCTAGACTACAGCGGCTTCCTTGCCTAGATTACAGTGGTTATGTTACCTCTATTACAGGTACTTCGTTACCTAGATTACAGTGGCTTCGTTACCTAGATTACAGGTACTTCGTTAGCTAGATCACAGTGGCTATGTTACCTCTATACAGGTACTTCGTTACCTAAATTAGTGTATTTGTTACGTATATAACAGTGCGTTCGTTACCTAATTTACAGTTGTCAAGTTGCGTGAAGTGTCTGTTTCACAAAGGATACATAATTTGGAGTGTCTTAATTATCGGTTGTAATTCCTGACTCGGTGAAATAATGATCTTCACTGATGAGGACGAGAGAGAGAGAGAGACCTTAACGAAGCTTATCTTTCAATTTATTTATTAAAGTTTTAAAAAATAACGTTTTTCCCTGTGACTGTCAATGACCATTAGCAAAATTCCAATAACTTTCCGGACGAGGAATTCTTATAATAGATTTCCAAGAACCACCAAGGAAGGACACACACACACACACAGTCCTGCTCAATAAACCTCAAGAGTGTTGCTGCACTTATCTCATCCTCTGCAGTGGAAAACTATAGGTAACATTATTTCTAGCCAAGAGGGAATGAATGAAATGCCATGATTCTACTGCTATGAATTAATGAAGTGCCGTGAGTCCGCTAGCCATAAATGAATGACTGCATATAGTAATCCCGGTAGCCATGAATGAAACGCCGATAATGATTCTACTCGCCAACAACACGGGCGAGCAACATTAGTGTCAGGCACGTCATAAAGAGATGAATCCTACAGGCAGCATTAAGTCAGAACACCGCTCAGGCATCTAGGGTAGACTTGACTTTTTTACTTTCATCCTCTTCAACACTAATCGGCTCGTTAGCCACCTGGGCGGTCGGTCAAGTCTCTGTTACGCACTGTTGGCTAGTACTGGGCATGCACTGACTCCTGAATGTATCTGAACCTTGAACCTGCTCCAGTGCTGGTTAAGTCTGGTCGTGAAAGAGCTCACACTCGGTGCCGTCACAACACTCTCTGGCAGGTTGTTGTAAGAGTTCACAATTCTTTCTTCGATAAAGTTCGCCCTCACAGTTTTCTGGACTTGCTGCTTCTTTAATCTTGAGCTGTGACCCTTTGTGGGGCGGGCGTCCACCAGTTCCAGGTATGGACACTCGACTGAGTAGTGCCCTTTGAGATATTTATACACCTCAATTAGGTCCCCCCTTGTCCGTCTGTAGTATAAGCCATGCAGTTGCAGGCACTCTAATCTTTCTAGCTAGTGAGTCTAGTTACTGAGGTACCGAAGTGCAGGCACCAGTCTGGTGGTCCTCCTTTGGACATTTTCAATCAATTGACAGTCTCTATCATACCTCGGGGACCAGACGGGGTGACAGTACTCCAGACGGGGAAGCACCCCACTCTTGAAAATCGTGACGAGCGACGGACTATCAAGATATCTAAACTACCTACTTATAAGACCTACTAGTTTTTTTGCCTGATTCACCTTCTTCTCACAATGACTTGAGAACTTAAGTTCATTATCGACATACACACCCAAGTTCTATTCACATTCGATCTCAATTAATGTAGTTTCTTCCTCCTGTTGGGACATGTGATACGCCTCCTTACTGTTGGTGCGACCCAGGTGCATCCTCTTGCATTTCGTGACATTGAATCTTAGCAGCCATTTCTTCGACCATTCTTGAAACTCATAGAGATCCTTCTGCAGCTCTTCACAGTCTGTTTGGTTCTTTATTTCCCTAAATAACATGGCATCGTCTGCAAACATTTGTATGGAGGAGTGTATAGCTTCTGGCATATCATTTATGATGCAAACAAACAACAATGGGCCCAATACACTGCCCTGTGGTACCCCGCTTGTCACAGGTACACGTGACGATATCATACTATTTATCACCACACACTTTTCGGTCATGCAGAAAGTATCCGATCCACACTAGGATATTTCCCTGAATCCCGTACCCCTCCAATTTAATTCTCAGCCTATCATTGGGTATGCTGTCGAAACCCTTGGCAAAATGTAGGTATACCCTGTATATTGTCGATATTTCTGTTTTGTTCTAGAATTTTAGTCCAAACATCCAGGACCTAGAGCATAAAACCTTGTTGGTAGTCCTTTACAAGGTTGTTTCGTAGTAGATGTTCCATCACGGCATCTCTTATGATGCCATTTTCTAGTCATCGGGGACCTTTTCCTTATCCAAGCATTTGCAGATCAGGATCTTAAGGGGCTCTGCAAGCTCGTTATACAGGTCTCTTAACACTGGGGTGTACCATATCAGGGCTGGGACTCTTGTGAATAGCTTTGACAGTTTATATCTTATACTCTCATCTGAGAACACAATGTGGGTCAGCATTGTGTCAGACCGTCTTTCCTAAAGCACAGGAAGATTGTTAACATACTCTTTCGTGAACCATTTAAGCACATTGGTTTTCACCTTCCAGATGAAAAGCGTATGTAGCTCAGAAAACACCTGACCTATTACCGTATACACCTATACAGTACAGTATTGAAATTGTGAACATAATTTAAGTGTTCAAGATTATGGCTGAAATGATAAGGCTTATGCCTCAGTAATCATGTGGCCGTATAAGTATTTTCTCTTGAAATTGGAAATGAATGTGTTTAACTATTTTAGTACATCCAGAAGAAAACAAAAACACTAAAGAATGCCATGAAAAAACATAGGTAGTATGTAATTATCATTGCAAGACTAATAAAAAAATTTCCAAGAGTCTTAGGACTAGTAATTCCCCAAATATAAAAATTTTAATGATAGGTCTTTAACAACCTTTACAATTCATTTTATTTGATTGACCGATGACTCCCCTAGCAGCCCCTCACCATCCACAAATATAAATGGTTGCTAAGGAAGCCAAAAGTGGGCATAGTAGTTAACGGTGACACTGAAAACAATAACCTAATATTACTTCATCTTAAGTTAATGTTATCTATACAGTACAGTACATTATAGGGTTAATGTTTATGTTAAATTAATATTCTTTTGTTTTTAACTTTTAAGTACTGAACCTATATTGTCTTCAATATTTTAGTATTGCTAACCTAATGTAGTGCATAAGGTTATACAATACACAGGGTACGTTGTTATTTCTGACATCTTTTTGTTAATATTATTAATACTGAGAGAGGATGATACCATATTCCTTAACTACTGTACTTGTGTATGGAGTTCACTCTGCCGAATAAAATTGTCTGGCATTAGCCAAATAAAATATTAAAAGTAGCCTCCACGTAGTGAAGAGGTTAATAATATTGTTACAGAGTTCATTGTGTTTATATTAGTGATAAATTTATAGTGTTTCATTTTAACTTGGTCATATTGTTAGGGACGAGGGGATAATACCTGTAACAAATATTAATGGACGAAGTTGAGGGTACGAGGGCCAGGGGAAGGCAGAGACTGGGCTGAATGAATTAAATTAAAAACTGGGTCCCCCAAAGATACAAAACCTTGGAGGATTGATAAAAACAACCCGAGAGGACTGTGGCTGCCAACCCTCAGATATGAGGACGGTACTGTATTGATTGATTGGTACACCTAATATTCTTTTTAGTTAACTTATAGTTCTTGTAACAACGATCATTTAGATCCTATTAATAATTAGAGGCAATAATGTTCCCTGTTGTTAACATATGGTAATGTGTTTATTTCAGAGTTCACTGTTGACGTGGTCACAGACGCCAGAGACAGAGGGTTCAGTGCTGCAGGTGTTGGTGCTTGTGGTGGTGGGTCTCATCCTTGCTGCCTTCATGATCATCCTGGCCCTCAAGTTCCTGGGTGAGCTTGTCACCTGAGTCAACTTTTGCTCCTCTCCCTTTAAGGGTTTTATTAGGCTAAGAGATACCCTTATGGGTAATATAGCTCCCTTAAAGGTAATGTGATTTGCATTCATCTTCAGGATAATGTAGTACCCAGGAGGTAACGTAGCACCCTAAAGGTAACGTGATAACCCTCCTCTTAGGGTAACCCCATTCCTCTTCAGGATACCTTAGCCCTTGAGGGGTAACATAGCCCCCTAAGAATATTGTGATAGTCCCTCTTCCTTGTTCTGGGCTCATGTAATCCCCAGCTAGCTAGTGGTTGGTGAGGTGTAGCAAAGTAGTGATGACTCACAGCCTGTCACTAGTATGTTGATACCCTAGGCTAAAAAAGCCCCCCTCCCCCAACCCACACACACAGCTGAGCTAGGAATGTGCTGTTGGCCAGGAAAGTAAATGTGGTTGTACAAAAGTGCCACTAATTGAGTCAATATAGTGCCAGTGCCTAGGTTGGGGAAATACAAGTATTGTACAGGGTAGTTAAACAACGGGTTTGCCAACCTTGGGAAAGTGCCAGTGCCAAGAATAAGGAAGTGTCAGTAGGAAGGATAGGAGTGCTGGTGTCAAGAATAAGGAAGTTACAGTAGGAAGGATAGGAGAGTGCCAGAATAGAGAAATGGTAGTGTTTTCATATGATAGTGTTCAGTAATTTGTTGACTACGTCATGTGGTATTGTCTTGACACTTTTAACTGGTGTACAGAAACGACAGTCAGCCATATTATCAAAAGGCTACAGTATATTTGTGAAAGTTGAAGATAAATAGAGTACAGTGCTGAGGAATAAAAGCTTACCTTCCAGAATTTTTATACATGATACTGTCTTGTTAGCATCATTATTGGCAAGGCTTGTTAAGTTTAATCACACTAAAATAATGATTGGGGGGAGAATAACATATTGCTTTAAAAGTATATAGTATTAATGTATAGAAAAGGTAATGGTTTTAGAGACTTCCTGGATATTAAAACTTATATTCAGAAAACCAAATTAATATTCTGTTTTGTAAATGTTTTAATAAGTGGGGATGTGAGGAGAGCAGCATTGGTGACAAGGACAAATGAGTGTAGTTTTTTTATAAATTGACTAAAAAAAAATGATATTGTAGTAATTGTGCAAAGTTATCTTTTCATGAATAAGTCACTAAAAGAACAAAACCTGGCACAGTATTTTGACTTCACTGAAGAACAGCTTACATAGTTTTTATTTATATACATCACTTTACAAAAAAATGGCATTATTTGTATTAGTTAACTAAAGAAGTCTGCTTCTGATCTTAAACATTTAATGATATACAATAGTGATGTCACGTTTGTCAAATTGCGGTTATATCAGGAAGTCACAACTGCACAGTTGTGGTTGTTTGGTTTAACTTTAAACTTGGATTAATGCTGTAACCTGTGTGAACTTTTCAATTTATCTGCCTATGATTTTTTCCTATGAAGAAGCCATAATTTTGAGCAGCATATTACTCTACTTTAGTGTACAACATGTACTCAAATGTACTAAACTAGAGGACTAGAATTTTTAACTCTTAGTGCAAACTAAGAGATGTTTATACTCGAATTAATTGCAATCTTGCAAGGATTCCAGCAATGCAAGTTATATTCTGCTTAGTCAAGTCAGTGACATTTTGTAAGAGAAAAACTTTAAGCCTAAACCAAATTCAACCTGGAAAATCCTGACCATTGCCATCTCGCCTTCCCTGCTGGCTGGGAGGAAAGGGGAGGGGGAGTGTTCACAGCCAGCGAGCGGAGATTAGTTGAGAGTGGAGGGGGAGGGGTGATGCATGTCAGGAACTCAGGATTATACAAGACAGGGAATTTAAGTTATTCTCTTATAAAATAGCTCTGACTTGACTTAGCAGTATATAAATTACATGGTTGGAATCATTGCAATTAATTCGAGTATAAACATCCCACAGTTGGCACTTGGCAAAAAATTTAGTAATTAACCTCGTACATTTAAGTACAAGTTGTATATTAAAGTGGTCATGTTTTGCCCGAAATTATGGCTTTTTAATGGGGAAAACAAGGGGTTTATACTCATCAGATTGTCCAATACTACTACTTTTTTACACTCCATGTGTGAGTCACAAATGGTCATATGTAATTTAGCAAGTTACTCAAGGTTTATCACTGTAAAGATCTAAAAACATTCTTCACTGTATCTGTTATTGTAGCATATTGTACATAAAGGCAACACAGTGGTTGGAGGGCTCCACTGCCCAATGAATTTCTCAGCTCTCATTTGTGTTTGCTTCATAACCGCATAGGTTCGTGTGGTTGTTTCGGTTGTGATAAGTTATACGAATGCTCCACAGTTGCAAATATATATATATATATATATATATATATATATATATATATATATATATATATATATATATATATATATATATATATATATATATATATATATATATATATATATATACATACATACATACATACTTCGCGTTTCATACATACCAGCTGGATTCGGTAAAATGCTACTGACACCACATAAGAGGCACGGGCAGTTTCCCAATGAGGTTCACGGCGCCATCAGCTCGATGAACAGGCGTTGTGTGAAATATAACAGAGTCTAGAACTGCTTTTAGTGTCCTTGTGGCCTACCCGGTAAGCGTTCCCTAGTCACACTCAGTAGGTCGAGGGTTCGATTCCTTGCTGGTGAGGTTGTTGATTATATATATATAATAAATGACAAGCCTAAGCAGGAGTAAGCGGAAGAGGTGATTAGTCAGAAATATGATTATTCTTGTATTGATGCAGTACAAGTATTTGGATTGGAGGCTGCAATGAATGATTAGTTTTTTATACATGGATGTGTAGGCCAAGTTTACTACAATGTTTAATGGAGGATATGATTGGTTGGAATATCGCTTTGCCATCTTATCATGCATCAAGATATTACAGTAAGCAATACAGTAATATGAAATATAAGGGGCATGTATGTACAATACAGTACTAATTGGATGACTTGGGTGTGTAAAAATGAGGCATAGGCAGTGGCACAACAAAATAGTAAAATAGTCTTAAGTATAGCAGATATGACCCCTTTGGATTTGACAGTGAGCAATGAAGAAGATTTTAAGTAAATAAAGAGGTGGTCATGCTGCCTTTAAGAGCCACAATGCCAGTGTAAGCAGAATGTAAGTAATGTTTGAGGTTCACCACCAACCATCCAGTAATACTTTTAACAGCCAGACAGCCTCCTGGAAGTGACCAGCTGTAGTGTATGTGTCTCCAGAGGAAAACACTTAAGTAATAATATGGCCAGTCTTATCTGCAGGTAGGCTCTTGGGTGTTGGGGTGGAAACCAGGGTTGTATTATAGTGTTAAATACCACAATTACATCTTCAATGGATTGATTTTCTTATTTACCTTCACAGACAACAATGCTCTAAGTGTAATCTAATTTACAGAGAATAATGGCAGTGGTACTTATGTCTGCAATATACTGTAGAACACATTAAAAAAGATTGTGCACACACTCCCGTAGACAACACCAGATAATTGAAACAAATAATGACAAGAAATTTACATTTAATTAAAATAACTAACTATACACAGCATATCCTTTCAGACTGGGACTAGTGAACTAACATCTATACCATCAATTTAATTACTTTAGCCCACATTTGAGCTTAAATGTTTGTACGAGTTATGCCTCTTTAAAGCATCTACCTGCGTTCCAATGAACTGGAGCTAAGGTCACCCTGTAAGGGTGGAATATTGTGAATAAGCCCCAATGTTTCACAGCACACAAAGAAAAACTGCATAAAGTTAGAAAGACTTAGGCACAGATCATAAAATAAGGAATTATAAATAATAGTCAATAAAAATGAATTTATAAAATAAGGGCTCTATCATGAGTAAATAACATTCAATGTCTTCATTAACATAACAAACTTTAATATACGGCAATATGAAAATACTTTTTCTTTTTCTATGACTCAAACCGCAAAGGTTTGATTGAACAGGTACCTTATAATTTAACACTGAATCTACCGTCCATAAACAACATATACATATGAAAATTTATGCAAAAGAAATATCATCTATACACTAAAGGTTTACGCAACTTCCATAGCACAGGCACTATTACTGTTCTCCACTGCTATGACTGGCTTCATGTCCGATGAGTTTTGGGAGGTGGAGGCACCATCACTGGCATTTTCTGAAGGAGGGATGTTTTCGGAATCCTTAGCATCATCCCAATCAATTTTGAATTTTGTGACACGAGGTTGAGTTCCTAAGATGTTTCTCTGGAGCTGAAATATAAAATCTTCATCAAAACTAAAAAATGGAAAATAAGCAACAAATTTTTATGGCCACAGTATTATACATTTACTCTGGCCATAAAAATTATGTACAAAAGAAATCTATATAAATGGACCAAAGGCATGGACCAAGATGGAAGAAATATTTTAGCTCAATGACACCTAAGAAAGCAATATCTAAGGTCAAACAGGAATACAGTACAGGGTGTATATGGAAATATAAAAAGTCAGATCAAGAAAACTTAAAGCAAAGGATTGGTAGTGTCCCTTCCAATGGTTACTCATTGACCCATGCCAGGGATAAGTTGTAGAGGAAGGTAATGCTTTACCCTTTACTTGACCCCTTGCTACTCAAAATACAGTAGCCAGGAAACACATAAAAGGGATGGAATTGAGTACATTTCAATTTCTAAACATAAGAAAAGTTTATATTTATGATATTCATGCACAGCAAACCCATGCTGTACTGCAGCCTTAAGTATAACCAGTCTGCTATGTTATGGTAAATTTATCAAGAAAAATTCTTTTATATCATATCAATGTAATCAAACTCACCAAGTTATGGACATTTCACTACCACCATTGTATGGCTACTTCCCACTCTTACACAAGTTGTTGTCGTTATAATGGTATTACAGTACTTCGCTTCAACAATTACTGTAGTCTTCAAGAGTCTAACAAGGTTAGCAAAATACACAATTCCATCAACATAAAAAGAAAAAAAAATATGAGAACGGTCAATAATGCGTGGAGTAGCTGTGGTCACTGGAAGGCAACTATTCAACTGCTTGCTTAGTCTCTTGCAGCCTTCATCAGGTTTTTATTTTCAAGGTAATTTCTCACAACCTCTCCCCCATGTCATACTTGACTTACATCTTTCAGACTCTTGATCCAATTCGTCTCCTCCATACTCTCCACATGTTCAAATACCTCAGGCTACCTCTGCACAAACCCTTGTCAATGCTCTCAATACCCAGCTACCCACTTAACAGTGAACAAGGTTTCTAACCTCTTGGCATTATGTTACATCCATCTCACCATTATCATTTTAACTCTCTCTAAACTACATACGTCATCCTCTAACTGCCCGTGTTTCCATACATCACATTTTTAACACTGACACAATCCAGGGAAATACCTCCTATGTTGTAGTTCCCAGCCTTGCTACAGCCACATGATTACCTGTACAAACAGAACATTTAAAGTTGGCAACAACCTGCAAGTCTGCCATTTACACCACTGCATCTCTTGGGTACCCTCCACACAAACTATACATTACAGTACTGATTTACTGCCTTCACTCCTCTTACAGATATACATGGCCATTTTCCACCTTACCCATGCCACAAATCATTAACATTGTTGCCACATTCACTCTCATACCCTTGACTCCATTCCGTATTTCTACTTCTTAAAAATTCTCCACAACTTCTTTAATACTGTCTACCACCAGCCAAGACAATAGCATACAACTCTCAAGGCACAATAGTCCTCAAGTCCCCTGATAATGCCTCTAACACCATGATAAACAGAAAGCGGCTCAAAATAGGTCCTTGATGGACTCTTTCACCTCAAATTCCTCACCATTAACTCTTAAGAGGTTCTTGAGCCCTAATACAGTTTAACCATTTGAACAAGAAACTTTTCAACTTGCTTATTGCCCACTGTACTACTGTCAAAAAGCCTTCTCCTAAGTCTACATATAAAAAGTACAGGTTTCTCTCTTTCCCTAGTTACTTCTCATTGAAGCTGCTGGTCTGTGCTACCAGATGACATGCCCGCTCATGCTGCCATCTACCGAGGTCTGGGAAACTGTTTTTACCAGCTGATCGACTGTCTTCATTTGATATTACAGTATTTATTAAACCGTTAAAAACTTATTTAATGAAACATACAATATTAAGCATTTTTAATGCTTCTCCAAGAAATGAAATGTAAAAAAACATATGAGATGTTCTGTGTAAAAAGGGTAAGCACACAGAATGTTTGAAAATTTGGTACCTATTCCTGTCCATAACTTGCACAAATCTTTATCGATTTTCATCATTTTGGTCTTACTTTTGTAGTTTTAGGGTAAATACTTTATGAATATTTAGGAAAAAATTTATAACTTTCCGTAAAATGACCGATTACTAATAATTATAACTATCGACTACCTGTATTATTTATAAAAAAACAGTATGAGGTAAGTGTAAACCGTAATTAATAATTCTAAGAGCACATAAAAATTGAATAAAATATTACCAATTTTGACTGAGTATCATTTTTACCTATAAAAATATATATGTATCTATATATATATTTTTTTTAATTTGGATTTTAACCAAGACAACATCTAAAGGCATTCACCTAACTGCCACAACTAATAGGTAATGTTGCACAGTTGTTCTGGCATTAAATGGGTAAATTAAAGAGCACACACATGCCATATACAGAAGCAGGAGCCGGTCTACCCTGAGGCTGTAAGCAAGTCACCCAACCGAACGACCATAAATGCATGGAGCGGCACATTGTTTCTCCCGCCATGTGAAAAGAATATTTAGGGACTATTAAACTCTCATGTACACCCTAAAGGCAACCTTGAAACCACCAAGAAGAAGGGTGCTTTTGATGTATCTGAGTGTTCACACAAAAGAGCATACAGCTGCCTACAAGAAACCAAAGAATACAGGTTTTCAATACTGTGTACGTAATGTAATGGTAGGTTTGCCCCTCTTATGTGCAACACTTCATATTTAACAGTTTTCTTACACTAAGAGGTCACAACATGCTGGCAAGTACAATGGCAAATTATTCATGCATACACGAAGGGGCTGGTAGTAATGGGGTCCTTGTACATAAAATGAATCAGCAAATATTGAGAACTGACTTTGTATAAGTACACAATACAGTACAGTAATGGAGTCTTTGCACATTAATGAATCAGCAAATACCAAGAACTGACTGTGTATGTATGGATATAGTACAATATATAAATATACATCTGGATAAGCTAAACATACATTCACCACGGTGTCTACTGGCCAGACAAAACAAAATTCCCTGGCTTTTCCAGGTGTAAATTTGAGAAATTCCAGGTACAGGTACATTAATTCGGTATTTATTATGACAATAAAAAAATTTGAGGTTTTCAACATGTATATACTATTGGGAATTTTAAAGATGATACAAATGATATTAATCAAGAAATTGAAAACCTTTTTGTAACCAACCCCAAGCTTAGTGATGAACATCGGCAAAGACCTTGACTCCCCCTCCAAAATTTTCTCCTTGGATTTGCGCAATTCTAGTGGGTCAACATGGACGTTCCAAAAAAGGCGGAAATTCAGCAAAAAAATAAAATAAAAAAATAAAAAAATAAATAAATAAAAATAAATTCACATCCCTAATCAACCAATATGACTCATGATTAATATTTGGACCACTTAAAGTCACTTAATTTTAGAGCAAATCATCTCTGGCAATATTCATTGCAGAATTAGTAGGTATAACCTGTAATATTTGGTCATTTGATCACTGACATGAAATATGATAGGTACCGGTATACAACAATTCAGTTATTGGAATGGACTATTTACTGTACTGGAATTTGTTCCTAAAAGTTTAATTACTTACCTAATATATAGTACCACATTAATTTAGGGTAAGATTGCTGCCAAAATAACAATATTTTAAAGTTGAACTGAGTTCGCATTAAATTCCAGGTTTATTTGTAAAATTCCCTGCCTTTTCCAGACCAGTAGACACCCTGTTCACGGACATATTCATTAAGTGTTGTTATCCCATCTTACCTTGTCAAACTGAGGAACATCTGGTGGATTTTCCTGTAGTTCAGGATCTGTGTAAGAGTTGTTGACATAATAACCAACACGTACAAACTCTTGACCCTTATAACCACATGTTAAGAGCACCACAGTAACACCTACTGCATCCCCAACAGGAATTTTATTTTCATCCGGAGGATCAGCCTGAAAGAGGTACAATGTACAGTACTGCATAAGAACTCCACATCTGACTTTACATGGTACAGTACAGTACAGCACATAAAATAAATCTTATGCCTAAAGATGGTACAGAATTAATCTTAATACCTTTACAACAATAATAATACTGAAGGTAAAATGTAAAACAAAATAAAAAATGTCTGGCCTTATTTATCATAATTTGTTTTTTTATGAAGTATTGTAAGGTAGTCATCTGATATTGTATACCCACTGCTTCCCCAATTTTGTCTTCAAGCATCACATAATATGGGAGGTGGTGTATTGAATGTACTACAATACTTACTAGTTTCTTTTGCTCTTATTATTTGAACTTAATCATAATTATATTACCGTAAAGGATAATAATTTTCTGTAACTCATTATGAAACATCCATCCTGCATTAAATGTATGTATGATTATTTGAGGGGTCATGGTTAGAGCACATGCCAAATCTCAATCTTGTGGCCCATGAGATAATGGAGGGCCACTCACCAGGGGTGGGCACAGTTAAACGAAAAGTTAGCTTCGCTAACCGCTAATCTGCTAACTAAGAAGTTAACAGCTCAAAAAATTAGAAGCTAAAGCTAACTTTTATTATATGAATTTAGCTTCGTTTTTTTTTTGCTCTAAAACCCTTAAAAACAGACCTAGAGAGCTGAAATTTTCATATGTTGTCTTGTAGCTTAGACATAGAGCTTTCCAAAAAAGTATAGCATGCCAAGATCAGATGATGATCAAGGTGTACACAAATAATTAAATGAACAAATGAAATTAAACATAGTTTACATTCAAGTTTCAACATACACTTTATAATCATTATTTACTGTACGAAAAGACAGAAAGTATTAAACGAATCCAAAAACTATAGTACTGTATAGCAGATGTAGCAAATAACATCATGCCAAGATCAGATGATGATCAACTTATCAAGGTGTACACTGTACACAATTTCACAAATAATTAATTTGCATTCTCATACAACCTATCGGCCTTATTCATTATTCATGTAAATATGCAATACCAACCACATACACATAATACCAGTGCATTTTTATATAACTTATTCTTGGTCTTAGCCAAGTAAATAAACAGAAAACTCTAAACTTTAATGAAAAGTAAATTTTAGAAAATTTTGTTTGGCACACACCTTGGATGACATCCTGGTTATGAACTTATGTAGTACTTAGCATAACCAAATATATTGACACAAAAAGATCCTAATTAAATTAACAAATAAATGATAAATTAAATTATACATTAGTTTACAATTACATTCTATGATTCTTTCAACATACTCTGACAGTCTTTATCTACTGTAAAAAAAAAAAAAAAAAATTACAGTATTAAACTTTAATAATCGAAAAATTCCATTCGCTCAGCTGCTGCAGAGCGGCGTCAACAAATCATGTCTTGTCACGTTTACACGTACTAACACGCAGTCAGCCAAGCGTGCCTGACTGGCTGTTGGAGACACGCGTCGCGGCGTCACACGCTTACAACAGACAGGAACAAACATGTATAAATTTTGTTAGGGGACTTAAATTTAGCAGAAGCTAATTGGTCCGCTAATGGTTTCCAAAGTTAGCGAAAACGCTCATGGTTTCCAAAGTTAGCGAAAACGCTAATGGTTTCCAAAGTTAGCGAAAACGCTAATTCTTAAACGAGAAAGTTAGCTTCGCTAATTAGCGGAACCGTGCCCACCACTGCCACTCACCCCAACACTGTTCTGGGGTGACAAATGAATATCCACAGGGAAATTGTAACATAGCCAAGGAAACAGAAAAATCCTGAAAACCAGTTTGGTCTTGGTTCCAAAGATCCCAGATTTGAGTGTCTATGCCTGCTGCATTTATCAAACAGGATGAAAAATACACAAATGTGCTCTTTTACATTACATTCCAAAAACCAGATTCCCTAAAAAAAAATTCTTGGTTGCACTTTTTAGTATTATGTAAAGTACCACTAAGAGATGCTAAATATTTGTTAAGTGTGAGCATATAATCTTCCAAACTCTTAAAGTATGACATATTACACAATTACATTTAGTAATGTACGTCCTTCTGCAGAGGTAAGGTAATACATACCTGAAATACAAACATGTGTTTACCCTCTGGTACTGGCCCAACATATACTGTGTCCAGAGTCTGGTCATAGTTCTCGCTCTCTGCACTTCCTACATAAATTATCTTCCACTCCAGATCTGGAATGAAAATCACAAACAATAAAAACACTTTTTCATCCCTTGCATATTTAGTAACAAAACCACATCTACACTGTCTTCAGGGCAAATGCAATGAAATTAGACCATCAAACAAAAAGATGTATATCCCCCACCTCCCTTTTATAAAGATGTTAATCCAGTACTGTATTTTATACTGTACTAGACTGAATAAAGTACAGAAGAAGACTTGTAGAACCCGTGAAAATTAATCTACTGTACCTAAAAGAATATTAAATTGTATCAGCAACAAAGGAGATGCTAAAAACAACCTTAACCAAGATGTTATAGACAGATGGAGATGATTTTCATGGGGGATACATGAAAATAAAATGTGAATTTTTGACACATTTACAAAACAAAACTTATTTTTAACTCCCAAAAAGTGGGTGTGGCCTGAGTCAGCCTATATCAAGGGATGCTGGTATACGACATAATACTGTACAGTGAGAAAAAACTTGCCACTCACACAAAACATGAAAATTACATTACAGGTACAGTAGCTAAAACAACTACAGTATCTGTGCATACTTTGTGGGAAACAATACGAGACCACGGACGATAAATTTTGGTAAATGAGGGCGGTCACTAGTCACACGTAAAATTTTGGAGCATATCAACCCCAACTTGCACAGATAGTTGTTTTAGTTACTGAACAAGTCTTACTTGGTGTCAATATGTAGATCCACTATTATAGTTCACTTTAAAAGTAGTACTGTAGTTCTAGTGTTTTTTCAGTGAGTCAGGATTTAATATAGGAAGCTATACTAAATATACCTATTGGGTCTCCATTTTAAGACCATCAAAACCATATTAAAGGCAAAGTAATTTATATTCAATACCCTTTTTTTCTTATAACATTTAGTGACATTTACCAAAGTGGCACCCCAGCCATTCTGGAGTCAGTACAGTATATGACATGTATATACTGTACGGTATAGTATTTACCAACAGTGTGTAACTGAGACTGCCAATGTGGTTAACAAGCTGACCAATGGCAAGGAGAATAATGTAACCCCAAATTCCTTCAAGTTTTCCTCAGCAGCAGGCAGTCATATTCTAGTAAACATGGTGGCAGCGAATCTGCCTGTTCTAAATTCTACTGTAATAATACATCTCCATATCTCTGACAGCTAAAACCTTCTGAATGCAATTTGCAAATTTTTCTTGATTGACTTGTATGTTCAAAAAGAAATTTAACTGAATTTTGTAAAGATGAAACTTCTGTATAATACAGTACAAGACACACATTTCTGCTCACAAAATTCAACTCAAGAGGACTTGAAATACATTACAGTATCTTGGTAAATTTCATGTTGCATATATACAGTACTGTATCATGGTAAGACAGGAGTTTCTTTGTGTCCAATAACTACTGTAACTATTTAAAGTTTTTAGTAATACTACTCTACAATGCTTGCACTTAAACCAGCAACCTTACTTCATCCTCTCCGCTATTGACCGGCTTGTAAGCCGCTTGGACAGTTGGTTACATCTCTGTTACTTTTACCTTTACCCTCTTCACCACTGATCGGCTCGTTAGCCACTTGGGCGATCGGTCACGTCTCTGTTGCCTTTCTTTTTTCTTTTATCCTCTTCACCAATTGATCGGCTCGTTAGCCTCTTGGGCGATCGGTCACGTCTCTATTACACACTGTTGGCAAGTACTGGCTCCTGAATGTACCTTTACCTGCTCCAGTGTTGGTCAAGTCTGGTCTTGAAAGAGTTCACAATCGGTGCCATCACAACACTTTCTGGTAGATAGTTCCAAGAGTTCACAACTCTCACTCTGAAAAGGTTTGCTCTCACAGTTTTCTGGACCTGCTGCTTCTTCAATCTTGAGCTGTGACTCCTTGTGGGGCGAGCGTCCGCCAGCTCAAAGTAAGGACACTCGAGTGAGTAGTGCCCCTTGAAATGCTTATACACCTCAATTAGGTCTCCCCTTGCCCATCTGTAGTATAAGCTAGGCAAGTTCAGGCGCTCCAATCTCTCAGGGTAGTTGAGGTGCCAAAGTACAGGTATCAGTCTGGTGGCCCTCCTTTGAACATTTTCAACCAACTGACAGTCCCTAGCATAACTCGAGGACCAGACGGGGTGACAATACTCCAGATGGGGAAGCACTTCACTCTTGAAGATCATTACGAGGGACGGACCGTCTAGATATCAGAACGACCTTCTTACAAGACCCAATAATTTATTTGCCTGATTTACCTTCTTCTCGCAATGGCCCGAGAACTTCAGCTCATTGTCAACATACACACCTAGGTCCTTCTTACATTGTCTCAAATAGTGCAGTTTCTTCATCCCGTTGGGACATATGATAGCATCCTTACCAATGGTATGCCTCAGGTGCATCCTCTTACACTTCATGACATTGAATCTCAGCAGACATTTCTTCGACCATTCTTGGAGCTCACAGAGATCCTTCTGCAACTCTTCACAGTCTGCATGGTTCTTGATTTCCCGAAATAACTTGGTATCATCGGCAAACATTTGTATGGAGGAGTGTACGTCAGGCATGTCATTTTTTAAACAATCAAACAACAGTGGGCCTAATACACTACCCCGTGGTACCCCGCTTGTGACAGGCACAGATGATGAGTTCGTGCCATTAATCACCACACACTGCTTGCGGTCATGTCGAAAGTCTTCTATCCACGCTAGGACATTTCCCCGAATTCCATACCCTTCCAGTTTGATTTTCAGCCTTTCGTGGGGGTACACTGTCGAAAGCCTTGGCAAAATCTAGGTATATATTGCCGATATTACCATCCAGTTCCAGAATATGGGTCCAAATATCCAATACCTTCAGCAATTGTGTTAAGCAGGAGCGCTCCGGTGTAAAACCGTGTTGGCAATCCTTTACAAGGTTGTTTCGTAGATGTTCCATCGTGGCATCTCTGATAATACTCTCAGTACTTTACATATTATGCTGGTCAGGCTCACCAGTCTATAGATGTTCGTGGAGTGACTATCACTTTCCAATCACTGGGGACCTTTTGTTAGCAAGTATGTATCTGTAACTGTGCCAGTGTTGGTTAAGTCTGGTCTCGAATGAATCTTATATAGGGAGAATGAGAAAAAATAAATACATAATTTATTCAGTAACGTTTCCACGAAATTTTTTATTTTTGGGGTACAGTACAGTATTTTAACCGATAAAATTACCAACAATATTAGTTGTTCAAAGTGGGTCGGGCTTCAAGTACAGGGAAAATATGTGTGTGTGTGTGTGTGTGTGTGTGTGTGTGTGTGGGGGGGGGATAAACAAATTTTTTAAAACCTGATCCAATGTTTCCTAATCCGTAAAAACCCTAAAAAGTTTACCTTATTTGTGTATTCAGTTTAGTACGTGATGGTGTTGTTTTCGGTGTTCAGATGAGGGACCCATAAACTTTTAAGTAATTCTTAACATTTTTACAAGTAATGGAAGGTTAGAAAAGGTTTTCGAAGGTTTGTTTGTTGTTGTTGTTTTAGTATTTTACCCCACATTTTCCCTCTACTGTACTTCAAAGCCCTGCCCACTTTGAACAACTAATATTGTGGGTAACTTTATCGGTTAAAATACTAAAAAAATATAAATATCCGACAAACGTCATTGAATAAATAAAAAAATTTCCTCTTTCTCCCTATATGACTCAACATATAAGTAGGTGCTGGCAACTTCTAAATATTATCACACTCATTTTTTTCCAGATATTCTTATCATTATAGCATGTATTTAAAAAATAAAAAAAAAGCAGTACAGTATTTACTAGATCCATATAGTACCTGACCTAACCAACCAAAGCAGCCTAGCTATACATTTTTTGTGGATGTGAGAGTATGCTCAGACCAAGCGAATTGGTTGTAAACAAACGGGGCAGACAACAAATGTCGACGACAGATTTTTTGTAGGCGTATTTATGGTAAATAATTAATTTATTCACCCACAAAGCAGTTTTTACTGTTTTACCATGCAATTTTCCTCATCCTTCATGCCCTGACTAGACATAGACTAAAAAATTATAATTAAAATATAAAGCTTTTGCCTCTATTAAAATACTTGCTTTAGTAATGATAAAAACATCTGTGGAAAAAATTAACAAAATCGAACAACTTCTGGTGATAGCAGTTTCCCCATAAATTACTGAGCGTGTTATTATTGGTTAGGTTAGGTGATGAATCTATAGTAAGGCACCGGCCTTTCTCTCGCTGTTATTACTTGTAATATGTATTTAGTAATGTTTTGACGATTCTAAAACATTTTTATTCCATGATATTTCCGCTGGAAATTAAGGATAACCAAGATATTATTTTTTCAATAATTTTATACGTACTGTATTTGGTAAGTCAAGTGTTGTGATGATTTGTTTACATCTCACGGAGGTCTGAATTCCCCTCAGCCAGTGCTCCTTACCTCCGTCTTCGCTTCTTAAGCGCATGTGCGGGGAGGTGGTGTGGGAGTTTCTTTTTGGCTATGGCGATAGGAGACTCATTATTGGACAAGTTTTTTTTCTTAGCCAATGAGCAATGTGTGGGTGCGTCGGGAGCAGGGATTTGAATTTTCAGTACCAGATGTGGATGAACAGGTGGAAGAGCTGTGCCAACATTGTGTTAAGAGATTATTTTGCGTCAATTGCTGATGTAATGATTGCTTGTCAGACCATAGCTTACATCCCACAGAAAGACAACACATATAACAGTAGAGGCCCAGTTGTACACCCACGTAAGTTGAAACATCTTACAGTGAGATTAAGACCTGACCCAGGAGAGGGCATGGCCACTAGGTACTGGAGTTATCCCTGCAATATGACCGTGTTACAACCACACCTGGACAAACACAGCTGTTCAGACCTGACCCTAGAGGGGTCACTCACATTGACCCAGTATTCTCACTTCCACGGGATTAGCTTAACCCTGGGACATAACCGTGACTCAAGAAGCAACCCCTCCAGCCAGTACACCTGTCTAGACACACCCAGTCTAGTGTTAAATGGGAGAGGTCATCTGCTGGTTGGTGACCGCCCATGTAAAGGCCCTGCAGCTCATTCCACGGGGATTACTTTCACATCACTGAAGACAGAAGACGGAGTCACGTTCGTCACTAGTCGAGATCAGGAAGGAGACTTCCCTTCCCAGCACCGCGTCTCCAGCTAGCAGAGTCTCCCATAGGAGACATAGTCCAGCAGCACCCACTGGGCCTCCCTCAGGTCACACACGAGTCATTGTCAGAGCTATCCATAGGGTGAGTTACTTATGGTGGGAAGTGTATTCATTTCATGTTTGTGTCCGAGTCAGTATCTGGTAAGGTAAATATAATGTGCTATTAATATGTCTGTGTCACTGAGTGAAGAATAAATAGAGGTACTTAAAATCGATGTTTAAGAAGATTCCCCCGACGAATATAATGTACAGCTAAACAACTAACCGTCCACGCTACCAAACTTCTTCACTTTACATTCCTACACCATAAATTCTTCCTATACAGTACTTTCTACCACTAAATCCCCCCCCTCCCCCCATTACACCGAGTTTCATCAGAAAAAGTGTTAATTTCTTTCTTTTTTTAAAAACATGGTGTATTACCTAACGTTATTTGTCCAAAGTGTAATAACCAGTGTACACGCTGTGAAGAACACATTTGGTGGTGTCGCCACAGTTTTCTTCAGTCGAACAGTAAGAAACGGAAGTGCAACCCTGGTTAGGTTGGTTGGTTGGTATTTTATGAGATTTGCTACAAAAAAAAAAAAAAAAAAAAAAAATCCAACCTTTTCCCTTAAGAATTTTGGGGGTGGGAATCTAAAAACTAGTGATTTCCGGCAGAAATGAATTTCAAATTCGTTCGAAATCCTCAAATACCATAGGAAAAACATATTTTTAATATCCAAAGAACGAACGGCGCTTTTCTATAAACTCTGGTTAGGTTATTCAGAAAGGCCATCTTAGTAACTATCAATGTAGCTTGCCGTACCAACAGACATCAATGCTTTGCCTAGAGCTGCCGTTCCTATATCCTGTGCCAATACCCAGGATCTTACAATATCACCCAAAGCACTTTATACATCTCTAAAAAAAGCTAATGGTATTATTATCGTTTTGGTCATTGAATGCAGTTAGGTTTAGGTTAGGTATAAATTATGATTTTTCCAATAGTTTTGAGCAATTCTGACCTCCATTTCAAATAGGTAGAGGACAGAAATGATAATTTTACACTAATTCAGGTGCACTTCAATGGTAGAGTTATTTGTTAATCTAACAAATAAAATATTAACAAATAGCATTTTCTGTAATATAAATCTGCAAATAAGTAATTGCGTAAAAGGAAACTAAACTATTGTCTGTATTTATGTGCAAACAACCAAAACACACATGTAAATATTGTGCTTTAATGTAACATATCAAGGAAACGATACTGACCTCAGAAAATAAAGATGCAGTAGATAGTTTCAGAAAACAACAAGCAATATGCAGGAACCTAAGGTCAATTTATAATAGGGCCCCGTTCTTTCTTTGGGAATTAGAAATGTGTATATAAAAAAAAAAAAAAAATCACCAAATACCAACCTAACCTAACTTAACCTAATCAGGGGAGTTCCAGGGGATTAGGTAAGGTTGGGTAGAAAGGTGCACTAACATAAAAAGATAGAACCTAACAACTACGAGTATCAACAATAAAACAACCATAAAACCATCACCCAAAAAACTACCTCCCACCTGTCTATGTCTAACTACAAGATATCATACTACCAGTCACCAATATACCACTGTAACAAATATCACTAGAAACTTACACCAGGGAACGGCCTGTGGGTAGAAATTATTATACATTGCTCACCTTCCTGGAGGTCTTCCACGCACTCGAATGTTATTTCGAATTGGAAGGGATTAAAGAACGGCGACGGGTTATCTAGCACCACCACGTTCACTATATGTACTTTAGCCATTACTATAGTTGTTGGTAACCAATTTATTCCAATATATGTCTTAAAACTACACTTGATTGCACGGACACACAGTTGCAACCATACCCTCCTTTGGCGGCAAAAGTTGTGTGTGTTTGTGAGAGAATATGGCGCGAAACGTCACAGTAAACTTGAATCCTGCGAGCTGATTGGTCAAGAAGGTTTGCATGTACATCGCATCTTGTGATTGGTCAATTAAATGCGGCAATTTCGAACCTTGAATATGACTAGAGCAGTTAAGGTCGTCAACCGAGGCTCACACACATCTCAAAACGGTTGTACTGCACCGCGGTTAAACGTTTAAACCTGATTTTGAATACAGGTCTTTATACACCAATTGAATCCAATGATCACCACGAGGGCTCAGCTGTACTTGATGACTCACAAGTTCACACAACCCAGTGAGGTTGCCAAAATGAGTGAGTGCATGATGATTGATGAATGTCATAGATTGAAGACAAATAGAACACTAATAACTAACGTGTTAGATAACATTCATTCCAAGAAAACCTATTCAGTTTGTTTATTCGGTATCGCCTCCTTGGTGTTCTATGTTTGGTATACATCTCCCAAAGTTGGTTATAAATTGAGCGACGGCTTTTTTTAGCTGTGACTCGATACTTAAATAAATTTGTCAAAACTAAATTGGCCTATGGGCACGGCCATGTTTGATGACGTGTGTTCTTGCATATGGCCCTAAATCACTGCTATAAATGAGTTCGTAAGCTTTGAAGTCCCATCCTCTGCGTTATTACAGCTATCTAAAATACATTGAAAGTAAAACTGAAAAATAGACAGTTGCAAGTGAAAGTACATTGAAGCAAGAACTAATATAATTTAGAATAAAGTTAAAAAATGCCCAAATAACTACAAATCACTGTATCCAAAGGCCATTGCGTTTCGTGCAGACGATACCGCAGACAGCCTTGTAAACACAGCATCTTGTGGTGGTCATGGGTCATTGGAATAGTAGTCTCGCGCATCAAAGAAAACGTAACCTCGTACAACTCGTGGTGTCACAGGTCAACAACAAGCACGCCAATAACTTGCGTCGTTAGTTGATGATTCCAGTGATTTAAATTTTCATTTGCTGTATTAAGGTCACATAATTCAATCATAATGACCTTCCAAATAGTCTAGGTACAGTTATATAACGAATAGCTTAAAGAAACTGAAGATATATAATCAATTTCATTAATTATATTCTTAGATTTGGTATCTACTGTATTTAATGAGGGATAAAAAACGTAACCTGATCTAACCTGGCCATACTATGCCAGTTAACCAAGACAGTAAAAAATTGCCAAAAACTGACGATCGCCCAAGTAGGGTGACACTGCTGTACACTGCAACTAAATTATTTGGTCTTATAAGGTCGTTCATATATCTAGATTCTAGACAGTCCGTCCCTCGTAACGATCTTCAGGAGTGAAATGCTTCCCCATCTGGTCCCCGAGATATGCTAGGGACTGTCAGTTGATGGAAAATGTCCAAAGGAGAGTCACCAGACTCGTGCCTGCACTACGGCACCTCAGCTACCCTGAGAGATTAGATCGCCTGAAATTGCCTAGCTTATACTACAGACGGGCAAGGGGAGACCTAATTAGGGTGTATAAGCATCTCAAAGGGCACTACTCAGTCGAGTGCCCTTACCTGGAGCTGGCTCAAGGTTAAAGAAGCCACAAACTCAGAAAACTGTGAGGGTAACTTTTTCGGAGTGAGATTTGTGAACTCGTGGAACAATCTGTTAGTGTGTGTTGTGACGGCACCGAGTGTGAGCTCTTTCAAGACCAGACTTGATAAGCACTGGAGCAGGTTCAGATACATTCAGGAGCTAGTGCATGCCCAGTACTGTACTTGCCAACAGTGCGTAAGAGACGTGACCGATCGTCCAAGCAGGTAATGAGCCGATCAGTGGTGAAGAGGATAAAAGTAAAAGTTGTAAGGAGAGCAAGATCTTCATTTTTCAAACCATTTTACATAGGTTTAGGTACATGTTGGGAGCTGGTCATAAATTACCAAAAAACATTATTATACTATTGTATAAAACACTAAAAACACTCAATTCCATTCTACCTCAAGGATATGACCACTTTATTTTGTCACTTGTCACCCCTGATCGATCATTTGCCTTGACTGCACAGTTTACTCGAACGACCTTGCAATATTTCACTTCTCATTGACAATGCAGAATTTTATATGTATAACACTGAGGTGAAAGCTGTCAGTCACAATTTTGTGTTGTGACATAAGCCTATATTAAGTTGTATCTTTTTAGTTGTAAGAGTTGAACATGATCTTACAGCTGTGAATTTTTAATTACACAAACTATAGAATGACCTCAGTAAAATGTGTATTCCACTGTAACAAACCTTCTTTACCAGAGATTAGTAAGTTATTTAAGAGAAACATTGTGATTACTGGTTAGTGTGGTGTAGTACTGTACTGTAGTGTTTGCTGTGTGTGTAGAACTGGGATGAAAGCTCAGTTCCTTGTTTTACAAGACCACTACTATATCAGCTATCATGCCGCTGTGCTGTCATTGCAAGATTCAAGAGATCGCGATGTGAATGAGGATACTTCTCAAATAAATTTTACACTGTTCACCTAAAAAAAAAAAGAGAGAATAAGGGCATACAAATTTGCATGTAGCATTCTTTTGGTTGGCAAACATGTGACTAATGCTCTCATTATGACAGTAAGGTGTCTTCTTGTACACAAGTACTGTACAGTAAACAAGAAGTATCTGCCATGGATGTGGACTCTTATTAATATACCATTAAAAAAAGTAACATTAGTCACATTATCAGACAACTGAACGTGATTGTGGGGACCAGTAAAATTAAGTTATTTTTTATTTCTGTACAATGGATATTTTGATACTGGACTGTACTTTCAAACTTCATCCACTGATAGGCATTGTAAAAATTTGTGGAGGCCTGGATCCCTATTCTTTCACCTATACTGCATTTTAGATATTTTTCTGAAGCCTATTCCCAGGAATTACTTGGAAACTGTAGTGATTTATGCCCGAATAATTTATTAGTGAAACGACTGCAACCCCCATACAAATACGCAAGGTAGAAAGATGAGGCCCGACTACCGTAGTGCTAAATAATTTCACCACTGCCACACTATAAAATTCTTTGAAGATTACACTTTCTATAAAATTATCAAACAAGAGTAGTCTATGCACTGATTCAATGGAATACTGTACCTTGGTATAAGCAAATAACAAAAGGTCTACTATTCTTATTTATTTAACCATATTAATAACCTTTACTTGATGTTGAATACTACCCAGAATGTTAAGGTCAGACAAATAACCCAACTATGTATATTGTCCCTCCAAATTAGCACCGGAGACAATATGTAGTCAGAATTAGATCGCCTAAAATTCTACCCATACAATGTAACAAGGATATGCAGGTACTTTATATTATTTATAATGGTTGTGCATCCCTGGACTGCTGACTGGTGATATTTTACTCCATCATAGATACAGATGAATGATTTGCTGATATTCTTCTTTTATGATTCATGCACAGAATGAATAAAATACTGTAGATATAGAATTGGTTGTTTGAAGGCTTTGGCCCATTTAAAATTCATGAATATAATCACGTGACTATTTACATGCGAAAATATTTTAGGCGTTATTGAATACCCGGTATGGTCTTCTCTTAACACATCAAAACTATAATTCTTTATATTTGATTATTTACTAAGAGATAGTTTCCTATTAACCTTTGGTAAATAAACTAATCTTAGTTTAGGAGATAAATTTTCCACATAATGCCAAAAACAGTTAATAATCTATTTAATTTGTATGAAAAACATTTACAAGTCTATTTTACTTCATTTAACTTAACTATACTGTATTTACACTTATCGTGCTACTTTTCATGACACCTATATCCTTTATAACCTACGATAGCTGGAAACAAGTGCACACTTTCCATTCACTAATTCTTACTACAATTATAGTATTGCATAGTGTAATAACCTGAGGGTCCTGTATAGTACTAATGTGTAATGTGATACAACACACAATCCTTGAGTGTGAAATAAAATACTGTAATGCCTAACTATGGTTGAACTACCTCTTACTTTCACAAATAATTCATAACTAGGTATAAAAGTTTACAGTACACCTACTGTATGACATAGACCATACTGTATAATCATTATGCAAATCACTCATTCATTCCCACAATTTTTTATATTTGTCTCCAGGAGAATACTGTTTTTAGCCCAAAATAAGATTACATAAAGTATTATGTTGGGTACGTATCTGTTTAGACTGCTACTGCAATATCAATAGGGTTGGTTTAGTTATGGTAGATACTTACCATTCAATAAAGTTTAATGCAAATTACAATTCAGTATTATTAAAATTAGTGTTTCTTAAAAAATTAACAGTACTGCCACACTTAGGCCTTATTTCACACTTTAGTTTTGGACTTGTGCCAATATTTCACACTAACATAAATATGGTATTACAATATTTCTAACCATTACTGGATTTCATACCAGTAGAACCTTAAAATATCTGCTTAGGGTCTTGGCTCTAATGGAGGGAGAGTGAAGACAAAAATAAAGACTTAAAGGGATATAAAAATAAACCCAAAGAAATAAGGTGTGATAATACAGGTAATAATGACCCCTGCAGTTAACCAAGCCACTGAATGTATGCTGAGAAAAAGCAGTAAGATGGTACAAAAGATTTCCATGCAATAAAAGGGCTTTACTAGATATAAATAAATGGTAATTACCCTGTTCAATTATAGTTTATGTTATTTATGTTGGCTGAATATTTACACCATGAGTGAAGCTGTGATAGGATGTAGAATGTAGTTAAATATGCAAGACAGTAACTTAGAGTACAAAGTGAGTGAAACAGGGCAAAAGATAGAGTTAACAATACAATACAGTACCATGGATATAAATGTGTGCAGTGAAAGTTTACTCTGGTAGAGCTAATTATGACAATATCACTTGCCGATTCATCTCTATGTTCAGGCTAAGTAAAGTTCTGGACGTATATACGTACAGTAAATGCATTAAACTATTCAAGCATGGTGATACAAAATATGGATACTGTATAAAT